GAATGCAAGCTAAGGTCGGTTATGATGGATGGAGAGCTGTACTTGCACTACTGCACTCACAGAGTGCACTAATAAGAAAACCTGGCATATGTAATCCTGTTTGTGGCCAGCCGTGTACACGCATGACGATGGATGACATATGTACACATATACATGCATACACATATGCTGTATTGCACTTTATTTGCAGTCCCTCACTTGTTTGCTTGTCTCCCTGCTGTGTGCGTGTGCCTTTGCATCTATTTGCACAGGACAGAGCACTTTAAAGTTCACTACACCATAGCATTCATTCCTTCCTGCCTGGGTGTTATTGGCATGCAACAATGCACCTAATACCCAGGACATACACTTGGACCTGCAACCAGCACACACGCGCTTCGGGCATGTGGGACAACAAATTCGAAGTAGGTATGGAGGATCGCGCACATGCATGGGGGCGTGCATGCACTAATGAAGGCAGTGAGATGCCTGTGGTTCACCGTAGAATGCTTCAAAACATGCGAGTCACTGCTGCACCAGCCAAGAATCGAACTCGGGTCTGGTCCGTGGCAAGGACCTATGCTACCACTATACCACTGGTGCTCTATAAGACACGGAAACTGCTCGAGTCAACACCACTGCACACAACTATATCAAGAGTTACACACATGCAGACATACAATGTGCACAGAATCACGTGTTCTATATACCTAGGTATATGGGTATGCCTCTCTGGTGCCCGTAATAGGTTTGTCTGAGGGAGCACCAGTGGTGTCGTGGTTGCATATATGGGTCCTTTGCCGCAGACTAGACTCGAGTTTATCCTCGACTGGTGCACAAAAACATGCATGTTTTGTAGCATTGTACGGTGGGCCGCTGGCTTCTCAGCATTGCCTTGATTATTGGATGTGCTCTATCCACCTAGTTTGTTGTTCCATATGCCTGAAGCACATGTGTGTTGGTAGCAGGTCCAGGTGCATGTCCGAGGTAATGTGTGCTTTGCCACATGCCAATAACACCCAGGCAGGAAGGGATGAATGCTCTGGCATATTGAACTGTAAAGTGCTCTGTCCTGCGCCATAATAGACGCANAGACATAAGTACACAGCAGGGAGATGGGTGAATGAGTG